GGAATTGAAGCCTGGGCCCCAGCATTGTGAGACAGAAATGTTAAGCATAGTGCCACCATACCACCCCAAATGTTAATCAGCATAATTAAATTGCTAATGTTTTTAAGATCAGGTTTTTATTTTGGCTTCAAGGAAGAACATCAGAACAGTTACAAAATTACTATGAACATTGTCAAAGGTCTCCTCCTCCCTCTCTACTTTCTGACAGTCTCCCCATCTCTCCCTAGACACCAAAAGACAGGTGCTAGTCTTTCATTTATTCCACTCACTGTTTTCCTCTAGATCTCCAAAGTAAATTAATTTACCTATGTTTTGTTGGTTCAATCAATGATTGAGCAATGTTCATGCACCTGCTCCAAAAAATATTATTTTCTTGGTTGCTTTGTGAATCTGTTGCAGTTATTAGGATAATGATTCTTTGACGAGTTTCAAAAAGTTAATTTTGCTTTAAAATGACATATCAAATTAATCAAATTAATCAATTCATTTTCGTTTAAGCTTTAACCATGAAATATATTCCCAGAAAAGTATTTATTAATTGTTTTCTGTGAAAACTGGGTCTTCTCCACAGTGAAATGGAACTTAAGCTTTGAAAGCACTACTTAACATTAAACATAGTATTTAGGCTCTTATATAACCACACAGACAGTAAAGCAAAGATAATTAGGTTCAGGTAGAAAATTATATAGGACATTCTGTGACTAGCTTTTAGAAGAATGGATTTGTTTAGGAATTAAAGGTAATAAGACATTTTCAGAATCAAATATTTATGCATCCAATTTCAAACTGCTTTAGGGTCAGTGAAAGGAATGGAGCAAAGGGAACCTTTAATAACTGGATCATGTTATTTTAACTCTTTGGTGTTTTATGTAAGCCTGAAGTGTAGTTCTGTTTTGTAACTATTCTACCTCTGCTAAATACCTTACAATTTTACTTACACAAACATTAAGGAAAAGAATATAACTTTTGTATTGTATGTAATAATGTTTCCTCTTTATTAAGAATACACTAAACATTTCTTTCCAGATGTAATTGTAAATGCATACATTTGAGATATAAAAATAAAAAGGTGCCTGACAGGTTTAATGAATTAGAAATGGTTTGCCAACAAAACATAGAAACCAATTCAGCTGATTGTCTCCTTTGTAGGAGATGACAGGCTAAAAAGGATATACTGTAGTTATAAGAGGCATGATGGATGTTTTCTTTTGAAAAAACAAATTTTTATCTTGAAAAAACCTATGGAATGATTAATAGGATTACATTTTTGCAGTCACATTTTTAAAAATACTAATATTAACTGTTTAACCTTATTAGCATGAATCCAAATATATTATTTTCATTTTTAGTTGTAGTGATCAGTTTACGTGTTCAGAAAAAACATGCCTAAAAGAATTTTATCAAGAGACTAGTTTCTCCTCACGTTTAGTTAAAATAAAATTACAATTCAATATAAAAGTCTTAGTGTCTCTGGGTAGCTTTTTGGGCAGGACATATCACACAATGCCAAGCAGACAGGTATTCTTTAAATACTGTACATGCCATTCCTACAACACAAAACTCACCACAGTATCATAGCAGTCAGGACTAGCTTCTTCTGCACAGCATTTGTCGGCCAGCTTTACCATTTCATCAGTAACAGCATTTATTTCTTCAAATGTTCCAGTGGAGAATTTCTGGCTGTAAAGAATAACACCTCTGGAAAACAAAACAAAGCAAAAAAAAAACAAAATACTAAAATCATTTTAGGTACACATGCATAATTTCTGAAAAAAGGCATTTGATCTTATAAAGTAAGATTTATATTCCCCTGACTAATTCAAAAATATAAAAATGATCAAATCAGATTTAGTTAAATAATTTCAGATGTACTTGCAAGTGTGAACTAATTGGTCTTTTATGTATCTAGAAACTGAATTTCACTGCAACTACATAGAAGCTACACAAGATTGTGACAAAGGTATCCATTATATTTTAAAAATTTACAACATAATGCATACACATTTTTAATTAATATTTTAATTAATATTTTTAATTAATATTTTTAAAAACTGAAATGTTCAAATTGAAGGATACTAAGGGAAAGATAAGTTACAGAAAATGTCAGCATGTTTAGCTGAAATATATGGATTGTTCAGAAGCAATTAGAGCTGCAGTCCTTTTTGGATATGTCTCTACTAACTTTGAATGTCAGCTTGGTATAAAGTTTGCCTATACAGTATCTTGGCAGATTGGTTCAAGATTTCTCATGTTACTTGGTATAGCTTACTGTATGTTCAGAAGTTTTGAAGGCTTTCCAAAGATTCTCTATAGGATCCAAGTCAAGACCGTGAATCCCCTTTGTCAAAGGCATTCCCCTTTTTTAATCTTAAGCCACTCCAGAGTAGTGGCCTTGTGCTGTGGATCATTGGCCTACTGAAAGGTGAATATTTGTCCCAGTTGTAAGTTTTTTGTAGGCTAAAACAGAATGTCCTCTAGTATTTGCCAGTATTCTGCTCAACCCGTTTTCCATTCAGTCCTAACAGTCTTTTCAATCATAGTACAGTGCTGCTACCAGCATGCTTGATAATAGGAATGGTGTTGACAGGGAGATGAGTTGTGTGGAGTCTACATCAAATGTTACATGGCATTTAGACCAAAATGTCCAATTTTGGTCTTATCTGACCACAACACCTTTTAGCACATTTTTACAGGCTAACGTAGGTGAACTGTTGCATGTAATGCCATGCAGACTTTGAGATGGCTTATTTTTAGTAATGACTTCTTTCTTTCCATCCTGCCGTAAAGGTTAGTTTTGTGAAGGGTCCTAAATATTGTTGACACATTTTCTCATGTCTTAAACTCTGAACTCTGTAGCTCTTTCAAAGTTGTCTTTGGTTCCAAAGTGGTGTCTCTCACCAGTTGTCTGTGGCAGTATCTGGGTGATATAATGCACCTTCCATTTCTTGATGATAGAACAAACTGTGGGGCAGTACAGTGGTGCATCATTGGGGCCCTGGGTTCAATTCCAGACCTGGATTACTATCTACATAGAGTTTGTATGTTCTCACCATGTTTGTGTAGATTTACTCCAGGTGCTGTGGTTTCCTCCCACAGTGAAAAGGCATACTGGTAGGTTAACTGGTTTCCTGGAAAACTGGCCCTGGTGTGAGTGAGTGTCTGCATGTTTGTGTGTACCCTATGATGGACTGGTCTTCTTGTACCTGTTTCTTGTTGGGATAAACTCTAGCTCCTCTGCAACACTGAATTGATAAAAGTGCTTAGAAAATGCATAGATGAATAAATGGTTCATTCACAGATTATAAGGTAATTATAATTAAGGTATATTAAGGTATATTAACAGATTTCAATATTTTTGGTTCCCGTCTCTGTTTTTATTCAATAACTATCCATAGCTTGCTTTGAATGCTCCTTATAATTTTAATGGTGGAGAATTAGCTTGAAATTCACTGCTTGATGAAGCAACCTGACAGGGGTAGATGTTGTTATTTTGCAGTCATGAGAATCATTATTATTGCACTCAAACAGAGGGCATTCAACTAATTGTGGGGCTCATTAATTCTTCCGTACAAAATAAATTGTGATATTACTGGGCAGTTTCTAATTAATTATAAAAATCAAGTTTCTTTGTGGTGGACAGCAAACACATTTTAAATACTTATACATACATTGCTTTGAATGTTTCCTTTCCAAAGTCTGCATATTCTTGGCAAATCCTTTCTTTTTCATATGGTTTTCCTAGAAAAAAAACATTGCTATCACTGCCATAAAAATAGAATACTAATGTCTTATCATATCATTATTTATGAATTAAAACTCCTACTGACTTTTCAATTATTGCATGTTCTATGTTATTGTACAGTATGTTTCAAAACAAAATAATTATATGGAACTAAAATGGATGTTTAGCAAATATGTTAGCAGGTTTTCTTGTCCAGATCTACAAAACAAAGTGATGACAAAAATAAGATTTCCAAATGCTGCTCTACAACATAGGGCAACAATAAGATGTAGGTCATTATTTTTCTGTGCTGAAAAGAGAAGAAAGGAAACATAATGTTTTGGCTGTGGAGCCTTCTTCAGGCGTCACCCTAAATCTAAAACCCTAAATCTGAAGAAGGCTCCACAGCCAACATGTTTTTTTTTCCTCTCTTTTCAGCATGGAATAAACCTTTACTTGAACATTTGCAGCCTACGCATGCTAACATGGCTACCTATTTTAATTATTTTGCTTTTTCCCTTGCATGGAATATGTACGAGAAAGAATAGCAGATACTTAAAGGAAAGTTTTGGACATTAGCAAATACTGTAGCTACATTTCCATGGCACCAAAGCAAATCATCTCAGTCTATATTAATTGGAGTAGTGTTCTAAAAAATGAAATCTGACATTGCAAAACAAAAGCATTTGATTGTCCTCTTAGCTTGGCATCTATGTCAAATAGAAATTTAGTGTCAGTAAAGCAGTATTAACTGTGTAATGTAAAGAAACAGAAAATATCATTCAATTGTTTAACTTTGTAAATCTATACAAACAACACAGACATACATTTGCAAAGCACATCACAAAAAATGTAAAATATACACAACTTAAAATATACAATATTTCTTTCCTCTAAGTCAAATTGATCTTATTCTGTGTTTCTAACTTCTCTTTACTTTAAAATGACTTTCTAGTTAAAAAACATAAATCAGAACATTGACAGGGTTTAAAAATGATATTATTTTTTCCATAGTCTAGAAATAGCAATAAAAAATACAAAAGACTCAGAAATTAGAGTCTAGGCACACATCTAGCAAATGACATTTAACATTGACAGATTAAAGGTTCTGCATGCAGTTAGCACAAAGGTGCATTAAACTGAATTAAAAGAGGCACCCTTGGAAAGGATTTAGGCATTTTCCTTTTCTAGGTAAAGTAGGTAAGCAAGAAAATAAAAGAGAAAATCATAGAGGTTAAAGGAAAAAATACATTACATATTTCAGGAGTAAGACCCTTATTTAGAACACTGTGTTCATTTCTGATTTCCAATGTAGAAAATGTACATTGTTGGCCTGGAGTTCAAAGAAGATCAGAAAAAATTAATGCAAATTAATCTTATTCTGTGTCTCTAACACCTCTCTTTACTTTAGAGTGACATTCTAATTCAAAATAAATTCCCTAAATCAGAACATCGACAGGGTTTATTATTTTTTCCATAATCTAGAAATAGCAAAAAAAAAAGCAAAATACTCAGAAATTATTCAAGACTAGGCTAGTAAATGACATTTGCTATTGACAAATGAAACGTTTGGAATGCATTAACACACACTAAATTTGAAAAAGCACCAAAGGAATTTCATGAGAAGCTGAGTAACAGGAACTGAAACTTTAGTTTTTAGATTGCATTCGAGTTCACTTGACTGCATAATTGCATAGCTTCAAATCAACTAATTATTTCAGTTTGGTCACAACTGTCGCCTCATTTGCTTTGGAATTGTCATCCCCAGATTCAAGATGACACTTAGCTATACGCATCTGGATCTGGTCTAGTACTACCAGATATACCGCTTAACTGTAAGAGTTCTCCATCATATTACAGTACATTAAAAACATCTTCAATTGGACTTTTGAGACCATGGAGCTGGATGCAATTCAGCAAATGTTGCACCTTACCAATGTTTATTTAATTAAATTATGCAGCTACAAAGGTTGGTGAGTTAAAACTGTACTCCGTGCAATATGTACCTTACTATACATACTTATGATGAACATAAGTGGAATCAGTTGTGTTCATGCACATGCAAAGGGACAATCCGTGGGATTACTTCATGTTCAATTACATAACAAGAAATCAATGTCATAATCAATGTCAGTGGAATTTGGAACAGGAACAATAAAGACTGAAACCAGAGAATGCGTATTTACAAGGTCTGTGTGCAAAATATCCCAAAGATCCCAAGGATGCACCAAAAAAAAGAGCAGCCTGAGATTCTGGGACTGGCCACAACCTTCAAAATATTGCCATTCCTCATTTATTTACTTTTTAGATGTTATTGTTTATCATAATGTATATTGAAGCTGAATCAGAGTCTATTGCAACACCACCCTGGGTAACTATGTGTAACATGAATCCAAAGATCCCAAAAAGTTGGTTTATTTCAAATCATCGATGTTTGATGTGATATTTTAAATACATTTAAATCTTAATATAAAAATGTAAATTTGAGGCAGATGGTGTATTTAAAGGATTTGGAGGACAGTTTTTCTTCCAAGTCAGTAATAGACAAGTTCAACAGAGATTGTTGACACTTCACTTTTTTCTCTGAATCTTACTGTATCACAGATGTAATATACAACATGGTAATTTTATATTGTACTCCTATACCTGCTACTCAATTTCTAGGGGGGTGCATTTTCCAAAATATACTGTATGCATGGAGTTAGAGTGTGATATAGAATAGCCTATATAATTTATATTATGAACATTGGTAAAAGAAACATACATTAAGTCAAAGCTTAAATGTACAAACTAGCCATTCCAAACAGCAATGTTATTAAACTGAAAGAGTTTTTAAAAATCAAAACAAGATCAATGCTTTGATTGGGAGCTTTTTCTTAAGATTCACAAGAGTATGTCTGCTATTCTGTTCTGCTTATGCAATTCAGAAATTAAAATGTAACTTAAAAATAATACAAAAATCAATCACCTTTCTTTGTTGAAACTACTGCATTGCCATTGACCTTTAAAATGTTTTTTTTTAGTATTAAACTGTACCAAGTTACAAGAATATTAGAATACTGAACAAAAAAAACATAAAATAATATAATCTATCAATAATAACTTTTGTGAGTTGCTGTGCAGATTTTAATAACAAAATATATGCAATTCTTAAAAAAAACAAGACATTCAATCCTTGTGAAACCACAAATTGGCACACACATTTGCAAAACACTGAATGAGAAATGTGCTTCCAT